AGAGTATCTTTATCCCACTTGCAGAAGTTGCCACGTGTCACCCCTGAAAACCAGAGGCATTGTGTCACCCACTATCAACCAATAGGAACTGGCCTTATCCTATCCCTTATCTTACTCACACCAAAGCCAGCAAATTAATTATCCATCGTCCCATCTCCCCTCCCACATTCTTCACCCAGAGAGGTAGTGAAGGAAGCAAACAATGGCCGCCTCATTACAAGCCGCAGCCACCCTCACGGTTGGTGTGCCGTCCCGCAGCACCCTGCAGCTCAGATCCTCCCAGACCCTTTCTAAGGCTTTTGGGTTGGAACCTGCCAGTTCTAGGATCACTTGCTCTTTGCAGTCTGACCTTAAGGACTTTGCTCAGAAGGCTGTTGATGCCACCAAGCTCGCTGGCTTTGCTCTTGCTACTTCAGCTCTTGTAGTCTCGGTATAGTTCTTCAAATTTTTACCATTATATACCTCTTATTCCCTTTTTCAATTTGAAGAAAAACAGAGTGCTTTCTACATGTTTGTTAATTCTATGGTTGTTCATTATTTCTAAGATCGGAATATGAAATGGGGATATGATCTAGGAAAATGCAGACATAATATGCATGTTACTACAGTACATAATTCAGTGAAAATTTTGGACTTCAGTAGTGTGAATTTTAGGGGTTTTCATGAATTCATGGGGAGGTTTCGTGCTTATGTATAGGACTTGTTTTAACAGGGAGCAAGTGCTGAAGGAGTTCCAAAGAGGCTCACCTATGATGAAATCCAGAGTAGGACATACATGGAAGTGAAGGGAACAGGAACAGCAAACCAGTGCCCCACCGTTGAAGGTGGTGTTGAGAGTTTTGCCTTCAAGTCCGGAAAATACTATGCAAAGAAGTTCTGCTTAGAACCCACTTCTTTCACAGTCAAGGCTGAGGGTGTCAGCAAGAATGCCCCTCCGGAATTCCAGGAAACCAAGCTCATGACTCGATTGACATACACCCTTGATGAGATTGAGGGACCATTCGAAGTTTCTCCTGATGGAACAGTCAAGTTTGAGGAGAAAGATGGGATTGACTATGCTGCTGTCACCGTTCAGCTGCCTGGTGGTGAGCGCGTGCCCTTTCTCTTTACCATCAAGCAGTTGGTGGCATCAGGGAAACCAGAGAGTTTTGGAGGAGAGTTCTTGGTTCCATCCTACCGTGGAACGTCTTTCCTGGACCCAAAGGGAAGGGGTGGCTCAACCGGGTATGACAATGCCGTTGCATTGCCTGCAGGAGGAAGAGGAGATGAGGAGGAGTTAACCAAGGAGAACATCAAGGATGCTTCATCATCTTCAGGGAAGATCACCCTTAGTGTTACCAAGAGCAAGCCTGAGACCGGAGAAGTCATTGGAGTTTTTGAGAGTCTTCAGCCATCAGACACTGACTTGGGGGCTAAGGCTCCGAAGGATGTGAAGATCCGGGGCATCTGGTATGCTCAGCTTGACTCATAGAACTGTTGTATGAATGTGTTTATTCTTAGTACGGATTTTGTAAGTTTGAAGTCTGATGCTAAAACTTTTGTGGTGATCTAATGAGAAGCAAAGAGATTATCATCTTCTTTGTAAATCATTGTGGCTTCTTATAGTAATCTTTCAAAATTGCAAAGGTTCTTATAATTAGATGTATCTTGCAGAGGAACTGGCTAGAAAATAAGAGGGTTATGTCTCAAAGGACTAATTCGGTCAGAGATGGTAGTAACTCAACTGGCAATAGCCAATTGAGCCTCTTATTGATTACCATCAGGTCTAGAGTTGGACTCCCTCTTGCCCTCAATCCTGGGATAATAAAGAAAGGACTAAGATAATTGGGCATAATCACTTATATTAGTATTAAACGAAGCAACATAACAGCTAGCAAACCAGAGTTCTAGCTGTTCAAAACATGACATTAAAATCAAATTATTCGAATGGTGGGTTATCTTATATTGTATTAGCTGGGTCTCCAAAACTAAGTGATAGAAACTCTGATCAGGGCAGTTATGGCCTGACCTTTGTACGCCAGTAGTGTGTAGTTTCTTCTTTACCAGCATCAGAGTTGCTGAAATAAAAAGCCTGAAGAATTCAGGTTTTCATCTTATTTTAAGAGCATGCAGCTTGTTCTTAATTCCTTATAAGCTAGATGGTGTAATTAAACATTTACATTAACACAGATGAAACCATAAAACACACAAACAAACCATAATTTATTGCACCAAAGTGGGAATGAAAAAGGTTGTCCTCAAGAGAGTGGTAGGTGAAAAGAAAGCCTGGAAATTCAGTTTCACCAGAGAAGTCAAGTTCTTGAAGTCTCTGAAGAAGCATCTTGAACCTGAAAAACAACAATTAAAATTGTTTTCCTCCATTATTTTCCAGTGAAGGCAATTGAACAATAAGACATAAAGTAAAAAACAAACCTAAGACATACCTTCCTCTCCATGCTGCGATGGAAAGAGGGATTGCTCCTAAAACTTTAACCTTCTTAGCAATTTGGCAGCATTCGCTGTTATCACCAAACAAAGTGCTGCCACAATCAAACAAAAGCAGTCCTTCAAGTTGCTGAGGGGAACCTTCATGTAGTTGTATAGCAAGAAACAAACATGTTTCCAGGGATGATCTAACTTTAAAGCCAGAACTTCCGAAAAGCGAAAAACCATTCCGAGTTCTATACTGGGTTTAAACCCTTTCCAGAATTCATCATCATCTTGTTGGTTATATCTAACACCACCATCTGTAGGTTCTTCATCACTGGGGCATGTTTGTGATAAAGGAAGTCCACATAGTGCAGGATTACCAACAAATGCAGAAGCGTTAATGGTGTCCATTTGGGTGCTAGATGGAATTCTCCCTGAAAAGTTGTTGTATGATATGTTTAAGGTACTGAGATAATTTAACTGGGACATGCTTTGAGGAAGCCTGCCTGAAAGCCTGTTGTGTGAAAGATCAAACGATTCCAACTGTCTCATCTGCCCACTGTGTGGTGGAATTTTTCCAGTCAAATGGTTTCTTGATAAGTTCAATTGATGCAGTTCAGAAAGACTCGAAATTTGGATTGGAATTTCTCCAATTAATTTGTTGCATGAAAGATCAATAGTCCTCTGAAGTGTAAGATTTTCATAATTATACCCTATTCCTTTCCATACGATATATGCTTTGTCAGCATAACTTCCACCATAATCATAATATCCATTCACAAGAGAATTAAACAGTGAAGAGTTATAAAAATGATCTTTGGCTGTGATGTCTTTTCCAGCTAGAGCAGTTAGATTATCAATGCCGGATGGTATTTGTCCAGAGAGATTGTTATTAGAAAGATCCAACAACAGAATATTTGTTAACTGGCAAATCTCCAATGGGATTTCTCCAACAAAATGATTGGATTTTAGGAGGAGGAAATTTAGGGAACTTAACCTTTCTCCAATCCAATCAGGTATTACTCCAGATAATTTATTATTACTCAAACCCAGAAATTGCAATTTATTGCAGTTCCTTAAAAAGTAAGGAATTTCCCCAGAGAAATTGTTGTTTTGCAAATCAAAAGTTTCAATCCAAGAAAAAGATCCAACAGAGCTTGGAATCTTTCCATATAAATGATTGTCAGCCAAATTCAGAATCTTAAGATTTGACCAATGCATCATACAATTAGGAAGTTCTCCAGATAGTTGGTTGTGGGAAAGATCAAGGAACTCAAGAGTACCAGTCATGGCACAGAGAGAAGAAATTGACCCATTAAACCTATTTCTTGAGAGGTTAAGGTGTGTTGTATTAGCTGGAAATGATGACAAAGGACCCTCCAAATTATTTGCACTCAAATCTATCCCAAGGGCAAAAGGATCAGATGAAAAGTCTCTTGAAAAATCTGGCAAAATTCCTTTGATTTGGTTGGAAGAAAGATCTATAACTTGTGCCACAGAAGATGTGTTTGAGAACCAAATGGGGATGCTATCTGAGATTTCATTTGAAGAAATATTAAGAAACCAATAGTTACTTTGGGTCTGTAACCAGTTTGGAAAATCAAGGCCCAACTTGCAAGAACCATGCTGCATGAATACCAACTGGAATGGAGGAATCCAGTCTTGGCTAAAGTTGAGGCTAAGATGATTAGAAGACATACCCAAATACCATAGCTTAGATAGTGTTGAGAAGTGTGCTTCAGTGATCACCCCTTCAAAAGAATTGAAAGAAATATCTAAGTACTCAAGATTTGACAAGAGTCCGATGCTTTTGGGTATAGTGCCACTTAATTTATTGTTTGCAAGTCTCAAGCGTCGCCATGACGAGCAGTTACGACTCCAAAAGGATTTTAGAATCTCCCCTTCAAATTGATTACTTGAGAGGTCTAGCACTTCTAGATAAGTCATGTGGCTGAAAGTTTCTGGAAACAAAACTTGAAACTGATTGTCATTCAAGTTGAGACTAACAAGGCTGTTGCTGAAATTGAACAACCATTGAAATGCGGAAGCAGTCAAATTGTTGCGTCCTAGAGAAAGGACAATGAGAGAAGTGGAAGTATTAATCATGGGGAACGACTGAGGAATGAAATCAACAAGATTACATTCAACAAGAAACAGGTGGGTTAGGTGAGGGACCTTATTAATTACCTCTAACAAGTAATTGTTGACCTTACTAAGATCGTTTCCACTCAAATCAAGGTTTGACAATGAAGAAAGACGAGAGAGCCACTTGAAATTTTCGACATGGTAAAAGTTATTAAGGCCAAGATCAAGAAACTGCAGATTTGTGAGGTTCCCAAGCTGAATAGGAAGAGACCCACTTAAATTACAAGAATGGAGATCGAGATGTTCTATTTTATTGAGTGAACCAATAGACTTTGGAATGGGACTTAAGTTAAAATCATTGAAACTGAGGTCCAAATAAGTTAACTGTTGTAAGTTAAAGAGGGAAGAACTGAGGTTACCTCTTAGCTTAAAATTATATTTCCCTTGAAGATCAAGCATAGTGACGTGCCCTGTAGTGTTGCTACATTGAACTCCTGCCCATTTGCAGCAGTCCTTTTTCTCTTCTTCACTGCCCCATG